ATGGGATTACACTAAGGAAGTCCCTGCTGACCTCCCAGATGAAAAGGGTTAAATCACCTACGTTGATTCTGAGAATCCAGATCTAGTTCAGACCTTCAGAAAACCACCAGCATTACCATGAATATTTAACTAGACACCACTGTGAAAATTAAAAGGGAATTCAATTAAAAGGTTTTCAAAAAATTAATTCTGACCTCTCTACATCTGTCCAAATAAATAAGCCTTCTTGAAACGTTTTCACCTAATTGCTAATCCAATAACTAGAAGGGCATTTGCTAGTTTCATTAAGCTTAACATTTTACGGGGGTTAAAAATGCAATCATTTTAATGTTAATAATAATTATACTTATTTATCTACTCAGATGACTGAGTAGATATTCCCCTCCAAGCCCTCTTGGAAAACAGGGCAACACATTATGAAGCCATTTCCTATTGCTCTCTTCAAATTTTAAGATATATAAGTTGAAGATTATACAAGAAGGATAAAACTAACCTAAACTTGTTAGCTAAGATTGTCTCGTAACATTTATTTGTTTTTTTTTAGCGTTATCTGGATGCTTTCTCCAATGCTTTGGGTGGCAGAATTTATACTGCTTGATTTTTTGGTGAAGGGCTTTAACAGCAATTCTTCATTTTGTTATATGAGGACTACAGAGAGAAGATGTAACATAAAACCCAGCGGTGAATGAGTTACAGAAGACTAAATTGAAGTTTTGAACTTTCTTCTTTTAAACTTACATCAATAATGAAGCAGTTAAGACCAAAGAATTTGAACTCATTTTCTTTATTCAGTTAGTAGGAGGTCCTGGCACCACATGAGGGGCAATGGAGAGCGCCAAGCCAGGTGCTGTACGGGGGAGCAGATAAGGGTGTAGGGACAGCACTATGGGACAGCAAAGAGGCCAATAAATACCTAAAATGTTTCCCCTTTTTTGTACCTGGGGACACTGGTCATATCCATATTTCCTCGCTTTTGTAAATGGAAAATATAAAACTGCAGAAACTCAGTTATGTTTGCATACATACAATGTGGGGAAATGGATTTGTGACTGATGACCTCAGACAGACTTGACCCCAGACCCACCAGATCGGAGGGCGCTGCGCGGCTGATGGGGACCTGGGCAGCATACCGACTCTGCACCTGACTCAGCAACCAGCTCTGGGAAGAGGACGTGGCCTTGCAGATACAAGTGTGGTTCAGATCCCAGGATAGCTTGAGGTTTGCAAACTTCTCAACAGAGTATAGAGTTTATGAATACATGTTCTTCCTGAACAGGAATCCAAGGACCAAGTAGGAAGGAATGATGGCAGGACAAGAGTTCAGCTTCCTGAGCCTGGGGGAGCCAGGCTTCCGGGTAGCGTTAACAGTCCTGCTGTCTTTCATGAAGACTAGGGAATACCCAGAAAACCACACCACCAAACAGAAGTAGGCTGCATCTCTTGCTTTGTGTCATTGTCTCTAGGCAAGTGTGTTTCTAGATTCTTTCCTATTAGAGAAAATCTATTCTCTGTAGATTTTTATTTTTTTAAAGATCTTATTGGGACCATGACCTGAGCCGATGGCAGATGCTTAACCAACTGAGCCACCCAGGCACTTCCCCCCGCAGATACATTAAAGATGTGTGTAACTGGAATCTTACTCTCTTATCTTAATCTTACTTATTAAAACAAAATAAGTGTAAAAGGAATTGCTCAACTTGGTTATTTTAGTACTCAGCAGTATGGGAGCTATGTTCTTGTCTATCAAGGTCCATCATTTCTAAGAGAGAATATTCTTTTTTGAAGAAGAAGATGCTAACTCATCAATATACTTTTTTCCTCTCTGTTTCTTTCCTCACTTCCCTCAATAGGGGCAGGGGGATATATCGATTATAAAGGCGTACATGAAGCTAAATTACTTTTCAACACTGGGGAATTTTCAACACTGGGGAATTTTCTAGCAAGTGTTTTCTCAAATCTACTTTGTACTGTCTATACTGTTGGTACACACCCAATGATGATAAAACAGACAAGAAAAATGTTACATTCTAACAAAGCATTATAACGACTATGTAATTTGTCATTAAAATAGCTGATCAAATATCATTAAGAATTAATATTTCTTCTTAGATTTTAACAAATAACAAAGCCATTAAAAAAAAATCCTCGCTATCCAATTTTGGAGGAAATTTAACTCACACATGGCAAAGTATCATTTTATTTTTTTTAAAGATTTTACTTATTTGAGAGAGAGAAAGAACAATAAGCAGGGGGAGGGGTAGAAGGGGAGGGAGAAGCAGACTCCCCGCTGGGCAGGGAGCCTGACACGGGGCTTGATCCCAGGACCCCAGGATCATGACCTGGGCCGAAGGCAGACGCTTAACTGACTGAGCCACACAGGCGCCCCGTAGCAAAGCATCATTTACCAGCTATTTGGAAATACAAAGTCTTCCTGTTTAGGGGGCTGTCCATCCAACAAAAGGCACATAAGGGATGCACATAACATCTTTAGCAGCCTTTCAGAGAAAGTTTGGGGAAAGTGTTCATAAAAATCAATTCAGATTTAGCAAATTATAAAATCTGTATTTGCTATCTGAAGGAAATGGACGTTATAACTACCCAGATTATTATGTATCCATTAGCAGTTACCAAAACCACACTATATATAATGAAGATGGAAAAAAAATAACATATCTACACAATGGTTTTTATATAGTGACACCAAAAGAAAACTCTAGATTTTGCTTGCTAATGTATTTGTTTAAGTTAAAAGTTTTTTTTTTTTTTTTAAGATTTAGTTATTTATTTTCAGTGGGGAGGGGCAAAGGGAGAGGGAAAGAGAGTCCTAAGAAGACTCCACGCTGAGCACAGAGCCTGACGTGGGGCTTGATCTCAGGACCCTGAGATCACCACCTGAGCCAAAACCCAAGAGTCGGATGCTTAACTGACTGCACCACCAGGTGCCCGTTTGAGTTAAAAGTTGATTTTAACTATGTTCCCTCACTGTGTCAGCATGGGTCACATTTGGCTTTTTACATTTTCAAATTTCTTAAACACATATTAGTTGGAAGAGGTTGGGGGCCACGTTGCTGGAGGATCTGGAAGGGGTTTCTCTCTTTTAGTTCTTAGCAATAAAGGTTAGAATTGTAGGATTTCCAATAAAGAACCTCTTACCCTCGGATGCTTGCCGAAGAAGCAGACTCTCCCGGTGGGAATGGTGTTACAGGGTTATGGTGAGGATTAAAGGAAATGACAAATGTCTTCATCTTAGCTCTGGCTCTGGCCTGAGCAGGTTTCCAGTGCAGGACAATGTCTCTCATCCTTTATTTTCTCCATTTCCCTGACCTGGCAACACAACATAGGTGCAACCCAAGGCCAAGTAAAGGAGTTTGGAGAGAACACCCCCTTGCGTGGTGCTAGTATGCTCTCCATGAACTTCCAGATGACCAGAGACCCGAGGAGTTAATACAGAAAAAGGATGTGAGATACAAGACTGGTTCAAAGGAGGATACGGTGGAAAGTTTAGAGAAACAAATGCACATACCACACAATCATCAGAGCATATTATAGTATCATTATAAGGCAGTGGTTCTCAAAGTATGGTCCTCAGATCAGCAGTATCAGCAAGAGCTGGGAACTTGTCCAAGATGCAGATTTTAAGTGGCCCACCACAAGCCTACTGAGTCAGAAATCTGGGGCTGTGTGTGGCCCAGAAATCTCTTTTAACCAGTTCTCCAGGTAATTCTTATACACCCTGTAATTTGAAAACCATTAACTATCCCATTATTAAGACATACTGTAGTATCTCAATAAGGGAATTAATGTGTTAGCTATACATTAAATTATAATTAAAAAGTTAAATATGTAGCAGTATCAGAAAATAAGAATTTCATTTTATTCCTACTAAATATTCATTTTAACACAAATGATACGTAGCTAGGACTAATCCATCTTCTGACTGGCATTACTTTCTAAAGCACGAGGTGCTGAGTTATTAAACATGTAAAATAACTGAAACCTTTTAATTCCAATTAGAAGCAAATCATCATCTGTACAACTCATACAGGCACAATTATAAATGTGAGGGGTCGGGAACCTTTAAATAGCAGCTACCAAGCTAGCCACTTCTGTCTTCTGGATGGGCATGAGGGAGAGCGCAAGCAACACGCTTCACGTGCTCCCACTGGCTCACAGGCGGGGGAAGTGAGTTGACACAGCACCACATGGTGTGGTAGGTGTGGTAGGCATGTAAACCCTGGTCTACACTAGTCTGGATGAAAGTCACCACCAACAAAAGCAGCTTTACTACAGAAGGAGAGAAAATAGACAGACATAAACAAATGAGGGCCAAAGGCCGCAACCAAGGCAATAATATGTGGGGTGAATGTGCACAACTGAGCTAAAGATCAAAGAGTCTGCAGATGTGGGACAACCCACGTGTCCAAGGGCTTCAGGAAAAGCCCTTCTTTTTTCTGTCTCTGGCCCTAACTATCCTCTGACAATGAGGAAGTCCTATGGATGCTGTCGGGTCCTCAGTTTCTTTAGTTGTAAGTTGAGGAGTTGGCTCTAGTTCTAAGATACTGCAATTGTATAATACAAGGTCTTACTCTGTGTTTAAATCTTTACTGTTTAAGTATCCTGGGATAAATAATTGATCAAAACAGTTAAACATACACACACTCTAACCTTTTACTTCATTAGGACTGATATCCAAATCGCATCATTTACAGTCACTTTTACTCAGCTAGATCAACTGTCCGGCTACAGTCATGTTGTATAAACTGTGCTTCATGGGTGCTATGTGGACCTATATATTCTCTGGGTCTTGAACTGTGCTTGGTCAAACTTCACCTAATCTGCAAGAAAGCATCCTTCTCTTCCTTATTTGTTATACGTATGATCTTATTTTGTTCCTCTGATGAAGAAACATTATCTATAAGGAGATGCAAAGGTGACCAAATTCATGTAAGTCTTATATACTCAAAACACAAAGATATATAAGATATGAACTGAAGACTGACCTCTTTCCTGTGGCATTGGTGACTGGCTCAAGGCAGGATGGGAACTGGATTCTGACTGGCTCCCAGGTGGCTGAGGAGGCATCTGACTGCCTGGAAAACACAAGAAGGGAAGCGGGGATGGGGAGCCCTCTACATTAATACTGCAATTGTGCAAAAACCAAGACACAGTTACATTTATTTAATCATAGCGATTACAGAAGGTACGGCCCCATATTGAAAGAGACATGGCTCAAAAAGCGGGCTACATTGCCCCTTTCTGGTAAAACGAAGAAGAAACATGGATAATCATATTCAGCAAATGACCTCCTGAGAAGTTTCATTTCTTACTGAAGGAGTTCCCAAACTCACAAATAAATTAGCAGCAGAAATCTGACATATACTTTAACGCGCTTAACAAAATCCAAGACTAATGAACTAAACTCCTCCTCCTGAGTTTGAACGAGTTTCTAAGTGGCCAGGCATGCATAGTGGCCAACAATTTTTCGTTGGTAAATATTTATTCAATGTAGAAATAGCGACCAATTTCTAAAACAATCTTTATAATTAATCAGAGATTTAACACAAACACAGAAGACCTTAGTGAAAAAACATAAAACATACTACTATAAAATGTAGTATATATTAGCATCAAAGAAGGAAGTATTCTGCAACTTTTTTGATCTTTATTGCTAATAAAGCAACAGCACCTATTAACATCTATTTGATTTCCATTTATTTAATGTGTGCTCACAGTTTGTCTTTTCAAACTATAATGTAAGCTCCTTGAGACAGGAATCATGTCTTTTACTCCTTTAATCCCTTCATTAGCATGACAAATATTAATAAAACTTTGTTATTTAATGGCCCTTAATCTGAGCATATGAATTAAAGGAAAAGATACTTATTATTTTTATTAATTAAAGGGAAACAATGAATCATGTGAAGGCAGGAGACAGGATTTTGAAATTTAAGAATCATCAGAGGTACTTGAGATCTCAACTCACTTTCTGGCTCAGAGGTTTAGATACATTTTGACTAAAAATATTATTGAAGAAGGCAGTTGAATTTAGCCCAATCCTCAAGGTGCTAGCTCTCAGGGCATAAAGACTCTGCTGCTTTATCTTGTAATCTCCTCCTTTGCTAAAATAAACTGAAAGACCGAAATAGACAAATATACATACCTACATGGTACATACATACATACATACATACATACATACATGCATACATACATGCAAGCATATACGGATCTCCCTGCATCACCCTCTGATACTATGGTCTATGATCATGCTAGGTCAGGCTAACTGCTCTGACATCGCAGGACCTACTTTTCCATGGTTTTGTACATTGCTACAAGAATCACAACTGAGTAGAGAAGGTAATTGATGTATTGAACATCACCACCAATTCACCCAGTGAATTGTCACGCTGCAGAGCCTGGCGTTTTATGCTGAACAACCACCCTCTCCTCTTTCTAACCAATGGCACCTCTGTGAGGCCAGGCAGCCTGACTACAGACCAGGAAGAGCACGGTCCCCAGAGTCTCTCAGGACTGTCACTCATTACTAATTCCAATAATAGCTGTAACTGTGGCAGCCAGAGGGGCAGGAAGATGATTTTCCATTTAGATAATACGTACACATCGTTGCTAAAACAGAACTTATTAAAAAAATCCTGAAATTGTTTTTGGGAGTTTAGGCTTCTCACTTTCAGAAAAGAATGCATGTAAAACCTGTGAATGTATTTCTGAGTGCTCCTGGGTTCAAATGCCATTCTCATTCTCGAATAAAGTGAAAACCAAGACCTGAATTTATAGACACTAAGAAGTGTGTGTGGAGAGACCACTAGGAGTAGCTCTTAAGTGACAGCCACACCTAGTGTATAAAAACCCTAGACAAACAGTCCAGCCTCTATTCAGCCATTCATTCTACTCCTAGACATTTGTAGTAAATTAGTGTGAGCACCAAATAATTAAATGTAAAATAAAAAAACAACATTCTGGATGAAAACAATTTCAAGGGTAAACACTGGTCATCAACGTGGCTGCAGACACACAAAAGTTGCTGTGTCTACTCAGGGTCATGTGCTTCCTATGAAATGCCCTAAGGCTCCCAATCTGCAGCCCATTTAGAAATGGAAAGCACTCTGCAGCCAAAGCCTGACTTTTTAAAATGTCACCGGGGAATCAGCTGCATGAAGACAGTTAAGTGCTTACATTATAGTGATTGTTTCTGTATGACGGACTGAATTCATAGACTCATGACAGCAAAGCGAACAGTAATTCTGCGTTACTACAGGACACCACTACTTACATGCCCAAGGCACTGCCCTCACATACAATGTATCAAGTAAGAATAAAAAAAGGCTGTTAAGAAACCCATCCTCATGAATTCATAAAATACTGCCACATCCAAGCAGCACTATGCTTGTCTGGTGCAATTCTAAGACAGATATCTCTTTACAGCAATGAGAACATTTATTATTAAATCCATCCTTTAAAGAAATAAACAAGAGCCTTTTCCTGGTAAAGACAGATTTGAGCAAACCGCTTTAAGTTCCCCACGTGTTTTTACCCCCATCTTTCCACCAATAGTTTCATAGTTAATAAGAAATAACTTCATCTTCCATATGCATAGGTAGAAAGAAACGCAGTCATAGCAGCTGATGAATCAGAAAATATGTCTGAGAAATATAATACAGGATTCATTTGTGTCCATGGTCCATATAAAGAAGACAATTCAGAGCCCTCTGAACCAAATGAATTAAATAAATACCCTCAAAACCATAGATTTTTATAGGACATGTGTTTCTTGTAAGTAAAACCTTTTGAACAAAATTTGGTAATTATTTTAAAAGAGAATATTGCCATGCATAGCGAACAAACGAACTTTATGGGAAGGCTTTAACATCAAAACGGAGTTTTTAAAGAAAGCCACTTCCCCCTTGTCTCTGTCTATAATGATGCAAACACAATGGAAAAAGCTTTACAACTGGAAAAAACTATGCGGAGTTAGAATAAACCCCACCACTTTACAGCTATGTATCCATTCTCCAGTGACCATATATACAATATTGTACAAAACCTTGGTGCAACAAAATAAAAGTGAAGCATCAATAAGTCAACTGAATTTCTATTGTTGCTAACTTAAAACTCTCAGAAGTCTATACCATGATTTTTTTATTAAAAGCTTTTAATTTTACACTTAAAGAAGTTACAAAATGAGTACAATGAGTTCCTATAAATCCTTTAGCCCACCTCCCCTAGTGTTCACATCTTATATAACCATAATACAAATATCTAGAAGCACTTAACATGGTACCACACTATTAGCTAAAGATCTTATTTGAATTTCACCATTGTTTTTCTTTCTTCCATTCTAGGATCTCACACTGCATTTAGTTATTTCTCCTTAGTCTCCTCCAGCCTATAAAAGACCCTCAGTCTTTCCTTATGTTTTATGAACTTGATGCTTTTGGAGAGTACTACTCATGACATTGGTATGTTTCACTGGTGCTGTTTACCTTGATAATTTAGTAAAAGTTGGGTGTCTACCAAATCTCTCCAATATAAAATTACTATTTTGTCCTTTGTAGTTGTGAGTATCTTAGGGAAGCTATCGGTGACTATGCAAATCCTGTCCCTCTCAAACTTGCACACACTAACTTTAGCATCCATTACAGAACCCTGTCTATAATGTTTATTACAATACTGTTTGTAATGATGATCCTTTATTCCCTTCTTTCCTTCTGCATTTATTAATGGAAATCTATTGTGAGGAAGAACTAGCTCTTCTTCCCCATTTGTGTATGTATTTATAAGACTATTTATTTCTGTCCAAAAAAAATCACTGTAGAGACACACTACAGGATGACTTCCAGCAAGTCACATCCTCATGTAATCCCCACTTCTTGACTGAGGGCAGAACCCATGACTTGGTTTTAACCAAAGAATATAACAAAAGTAATGAAATATCACTCCTACAATTACGTTACATGGCAAAATTAAAGGCGTTTTACAGATATAATTAAAGTCCCTAATCGGCTGGCTTTGAGATAATCAAAAGGGTGATGATGCTGTGCAGACCTGACTTTCAAAGAGGACCGAGGTTTCTCTGAGCAGACCTGTGCTTCCTGTGGCCTTAAAGAAGGAAGCTCCCATGATGTGAACTGAGCCACATGGCAAGGACAGGCAGCCTCCAGAACTTGAGGGCCTCACTTCTACAACTGCAGGAAATTAATTTTTCCAACAATGTGAATGAGATTGGAAGCAGATTCTTCCTCGATGAGCCTCCAGATGAGAAGACAGACTATCTGATCTGACACTCTGCAGCCTTAATGAGGCCCTGAAGAGAGGACCGAACTAGGCTGTGCCTGGATGCCTGGCCATGGAAACTGTGAAATAGTGTATGTGTGTTGTTTTAAACTGCCAAGTGTGTGGTAATTTGTTAAAACAACAAAAAACAAATACACTCATTGATATTTATTTTATTCCATGCGTTAAAATCCAACACTGACATTAATTTTGTTGCTGAAATTGTTCCAGCTTTGGCCATCAGAAGCTCCTTCAAATCCTTAGTTTTTGGAATCATAAGATACTGCAGGCTCATTTTGCAGTTTTCCTGACCCAGCCCTGTAATCAACCACTTCTCCTAGGAGTGCTGGTTCTTTTTACTGGAAGACGATGTTCACAGACTGAGGTCTGGGCACTAGGTCTGCTCATTATTTCTGGGGTGTTACTGCTTCTAGGCCCTCTCATGAACAGAAGTAGGAAATATACCGATGTACATTAACCCATACATATATGCATATCTATATTTCAGTATGTGTGTGTTAATGGCGAGCTCATGCAAATACCTCTGATTCCAATCCAGAACTGGAGGGTATATTTTAGCCTTCCCTCTTTCCTTATTATGACTTCTTTTTACAAGGGTAAGAAACCCTGTTCTCATTATCTAAATCAATGTACTAATCTGTTCAATTCTATTATATACACAAGGTAATTTCAGAATTACTAATCTACATCACTGTGAAAAACACAGAGCCATTTGTTAGGACTTCTTGCCATTTTGCATTTCCTTCACACCTTGATTGGCTTTAACTGTTTTGATATG